CAGTAGTACCCAAGCCCTCGGGGCTCTCCGGGTGGCGTGGCAGTTAGGCACCAGAAGGGTGCTACAGTTGAACCTTATCAGGCTGGCCAGAATTGTCCAACTCTAGATGGCTGGAACAAGCAGCTGTCACAGGTATGCAACCAGTGTGCAACTTGTGTCGGCCGAATGGCTTGAATGGAGTGTGGGTTGCAACGTACCCCGTCTTGTAACAGTACTGTATGGAGCAAGACGACTGTGGTTAGAGCGCGAAGTTGCTGACCGGAAAGCCCGTGGTTCGGACTCTCTTGACTTCCTCTGTCTAGACTTGGGCAACCTAGCAGTATCCCAGCCCTCCTGCTTCCTTCTAGTGGCTTTGCAGGTAAGCAACGAAATGGTTATACGCCTTAGCAGCATTGTGTAATTCGGAAGGCGTACGCCAAACTGTCCAGAAGTGCTGTTCGAGTTCTTTGTGACGGCATGTCTCTAAAACATTTTATAGTAGTAAGCTGCCTGTAGTAAGCGAGCCTGTAAAAGAATCACTCAGCGATTTACTTCTTCGAACTCATAGCTCTAACATTCGCATCATACTTCAGAAATTTCCGTATTTATTCACAGTCGACCACAACTGCAATAAGTTTGAACTAGGGCTTGCTGATTGACCGTTGTATGGAACGGCCGTCTGCCGATGCAAAGAACCTGACGCATTTGAGCTAAAGGAGCAGCTGGTACGACGTGTACAGCGGACATCTAATATTCGGGTGCACTAGAGGTGTAGGGCATACAATGAACCCAAAGTTAATGTCAAGGCGATAGAGTTCGATGCATTATAACGCGGTCACTCGAGCACAGACCGTTGATCATGTAAGTCTTCAAATAGCAAGTATCGGACAATTAGAAATGAGCGTTTATTTGAAGTGGAAGGTAATACATTTGAGATCTATCACAAACAGCTGAGTGAAAAATGCCAAAGGATAAAATAAAAATAATACGTCACACGACATAATAAATGCATCGGCACTGCCATTAGACACTAGCAAAGAAGTTCCAAACAATGGCGCCTCAGGAAGTACGATAAAAGGAATAGCAATTTCTACTTCGGTACCGTGGAAACTGTGGCACCGTTGATTCGTGGCTTCCATATCATACTGTAGTATATTGCCAGAATAATGGCTGCCAGAGACACCGAAACGACATACACCAGTACCGTTGCAAGACGCACCCACTTCTTGCTGGTTTTCTGAAGTTTGGGTCTGCCTTCATGAGCTGACTTGGCCATTGTACTAGCACCGCGGGGCCTGCAACGACCACTAATTCTGATCTTTCGTCTGATTCGCCGAAAGGGGCTATGGTATTCTGGATACCGATTGGTTAAACATGGGTTTCACGGGTCCCGGTGGACGAAGTGAGTGCTTGGGATATGGATGTGGCCGTAGTGATGTTCAGTATCATGCATACAAGGTATAGCAGGTGTGCCGGCAGATGCCCCACTACAGTTTGTTATTCCGCTGTTGTCGCGCCAGGTGACTGGGTCGCTTTATTGCTGTATGCTCAAAGACATCCAGTTTTCATATGTCCAGTTCGCATGGTGCATCTGATAGGCCTCTTAGACGTGCAGCGATGGCAAATTTTTTTTAACTCATTAAATTGTTTGTGGACTCTTTATAGGCCAAACCTGCGGCGGTATTTTGACTAACATTCTAGCAAGCAAACTTTTGGTCTGTGGAAGCAGTTGAAACCCTCAGAACACTATGTAACGATAAACATCTTGCATGCCTCCTCAACCGGGAATGTTGATCGGTGTCCGACTTTGAGCCTCACCTGCAAAACAACCAGCCTCGATGATAGGCTTCTGGTGATCGTCGTGAAATTTCGTGTTGCTTATTGTTTGTAGAAGTTGTGTAACCGTGCCGCGTGCTTCATTATACTTTTATGGAGTGAAGGTTGGCGCGCGCTAAAGCAGATTGGACTGCTAGTGTTTGTTGCAGACCAAACGACTTGGCCTGGTGGATCGTGTGCGTTTATTTCTAGGCAAACGGGTTTTGGTTGCCGCTGATGCACGCTCCTGTCTCATTTGTGTAATCGTCTGATTGCCGCTAACAGTTTTTTTGCGTAACCAGTTGTTTTAATGCTGCTTCGGTCCTGGTTTTAGCCATTTGTTATAGAGCCATTTTTTTCTTCCACTAGTCCTAATTTTGTGCAGTGCAGAATAGACCAAGCTTTTTTTATCCAAATTTGCAATCGGTAAATATGCACTCCTTTTCCTTTGACCACCGAAACTTGTTAGTGCTTTTCCCAAATGCTTTAAACTAACTGGGCTCCAACTATTACTCTGCCATACGCTGATATACAGACTTTCCGGATACGACGCTCGAAAGACCCCAGTGTACGCCCGTTATTTGTTTAGCTTTGTTCTAAACACGTAGGTAAGCGCCAGTGAATCAGCTAACCTACTTCGTATGCCTCGCACTGAACTGGCGTAGGCTGTCTGCCACCCCTCTCGTCAAACATAGTTATTATGAGTAATGCTATCTCAAACACAAAGCAACGCTTGTAGAACCATAGCCGTGTAGCTTCTCTCATTATATTCCAACAAAAATGGAGCGCACGTCAACTTTGTACATCGTTTTGACTTCCTGGAACCACAGTGTAATTGGTAGCTCCACCTGCCGTCTACCACGCTGCCGAAGTGCTCAGCGCAGGGCTGGTTTCTCAGGGCTTGTTGACATGTCAACCGGTTAAAAACACCGAAGCTCATAGAAAAGTGCCTTGCCAACCAAGGCCTAGACGTCCATAAAGTAAAAAGATGTGCTTCAGGAAAGGGTCAAATAGAAAAAATCTAGAAGGGAATGACAGAAAGTTAAATAAACCCGGGAAAAGGCAATATTTTGTTGATTCACCTAGCATCTAAAAGCAGTATGATGGCGGGCGGTATATGGCTTCTGCTCGGCATGTGTCCAATACCCTCAAATACTGATGCAAGAAACTATCACTAGTGTTAACAGTTGAGTTTCGTTTTTGCACTGAGCGTTAGTCAATTAGAAGGCGTAATTACAATGCCGGATCAAATGTCTGATTTTGAGAAGGTGAAAACCTAGTCGCTGAGGTAGTGAGCAGGAAGCCTAGCCGTTGGATTGGCTGGAAGGGACAATTACATGGTGGGTTACAAAGTATGACGTTAGATTTAAGTTCAGCTGAAAAGGCCAATCATATGGTCTCTGCTGCGCAAAAAAGAGAGAGAAAAGACAAATAATAAATATTTGAGCAACAGCCCCGGAGATAGTGAAGAAAGGAAGTAGTTTAGCCGGAAGCTACTCCGTTACCTTAACAGAAAGTTGAGAGCATGGGTTGCCAGTCACAGAGTCACTGCTGTCAGCTCCGATAAAACAGACAAGAGAAGCCAGCCGTGACTGCATGGGTTTCAATCACAGATTCCCCGCTGTCAGCCCCGATAAAACAGACAAGAGAAGCCAGCCGTGACTGCAGGTAGTCGAGTAATATGAAGCTATCTAGATTTTATATGTATGTGATCGATTCAGAGAAAAAGGGGGTGGAACGTATGTTTTTATCTGGCTAAAAAAGCGTGCATGGGGTGGTGAAATGCCAACTAACACGAAGGCGGCCATGCCTTGCACGTTGCGCTATCCGTGAGCCCCGCATAGTACATTCAGACTGCGCCCTGTATATTTTTTAAAATTAAAACAAAAAGACAGCTTCCATTCGCTTGTCTTTCTTCGTGCATCCAGACAAACGACAACAGAGACAGTTCCAAACCAGCTACAGACAAACAACAACGGTGCTTTTTTGTAGATTTCCTAAACTAAAAGCCACGGCTGGCCCACCAGTGATGTGTAATTCCCCTGTGCTGCTGGAGGGGTAGCGAGTATACGAACGCACCATCGTACAACATAACAGGGCGTCCGTCCCTGGACGGCGTACCCGTCCACCATACCAGACCTTCGTTTCTCAAGTATGCTATCAGATCTGTAGGGTGACAAGCCACAAAGAAGTTATAATTGAAGTTTGTGCATTATTAAATATTTCCGGTTATCAGATATTCTACCCGGTCCAGTAAAAGAGGCACGTAAAACTGCTCTCATTTCGAACAAGCGAGAAGTAAGCAGTCGCTGGAAGAGGCACATCACGAAGACTAATGTATTTGCAGCTAACCTTTGGGTCGCGAATGTAGAATGGGGATGTTCAGTGGCCGGGTGCTATGGCTAAGCGACGACAAAGAACAGATGTGAATCGCCGTGTCAAGCAAGGGTGCACCACGGCATGCATATATGAATGAGTGGGACGTGAAAACAAACGAGTAATAAATAATAATAATAATAATAATGTTTATTCTCAACTTGTGGGTTGCATAACACCAGGCGTGTCATAATGTTAGGGTCAGAATAAAAGTATGATTGGGTGGGGATTGTGGGAACAGGGAGATAGGAAAGGGGACAGCTTCTTAGGGTCGGGCATTATCCGATGTGAGTGTGATGACCACTAAACCGACACGAGCAGGGAAGCATAATCGTCCTTTGGAAGAGCGAGGTGATGGCATCACGCGAGCCAGAACACGAAGTGTATAGAAATTTATTGAATTTCATGGGAAGCACAGACACACACGAATGGTTAACTTTGAACGAAAAGTTCAGCGTGTTCGAATGAACATATCATTGAGGCAGCTAAGGTCAAGTGGGATGTTTGTAGTATTTGCAGCTAATGTGACAAGTGGGCGAGAAGACATGGTAGAGAGAAGGAATGGAATAGTTGCGGGTGTACCATCAAACCGGGTATGGCAGTTCTGCGCCATTATTGGCCCCACATGTTTTTGGACAGCAACGTATCGGACGTCGTATTTAAGTTGATTGGGCTGGGAGGTGCGGTTCTTGGAGCAGCGGGATTCACTTTAGGCTGGCCGATGAAACAAGGTAGAACGAAGCCGAAATGAGATCGCGGGTTTTTTGGTCCGAATGGGGATCTTGGGGTTATAGATCGCAGGCCAGGTTGAGTGGATAACAGCCAACCAGGTCGTCCAAACCGGGGATTGAGCAGTACGAAGCTGGGGAAGATGAGGGGATTGGAAAGCGTGGTGAGTTTGAGGAGACACCAAAGGGATAAAGGGCATTATTATACAGCCAACCACGTCGTCCAAACCGGGCATTGCCGAAGTTAAAGGCATGCACTAATATACATGGCAGTGAACCATATTAATAATAAAAATAGAACCAGCCTGTTAGTATACCTTGCTGCGTTTGAGACCTGTATGGAGCAACAGTCACCCACATTGCCTGGTTGATCGGTGTGTGCTCTATTATTGGCTTGGCTTCTTCCCGGGGTGACTTGTATCGGGTTCTCCCCAGCTAGGTCCTCGCCACGGACACGTTCATCCACTCGGTTTAAGAGTTGTGCTTCGACTTGCCTAGCCCTAATCAAAATAAGTCAAACAGAAGTCGGAGTTTCTCGTTCATGAGAATGTAACGTACACCATGCAACCCAATAAGCACATGAGCACATAACATTGCGATACGCCTATGCTTGGCTTGGCGGCTCTCACTCCGTCATCGCTTAACAATAGTTCACAATTTCTTTACACCTCTGTCAGGTCCATTGTTACCGACCACCAAGGTTGGTTGTGAGCACGGCTTCAATTCTGCTAATCCATAAGAGAGAAGTTTTGTTTTCTTTCTGCTACTGAGCTGGACTCGTCCTGGTTATGTTTACGCCACAACCTACAGGCGGTGAAAAACTGTTTTTTCTATTAAACTCGCAAAACAGCAGACAGGCTAACCTGAAGACGCTCTACCGTGCACATGGCTCACATCAACGCGAAGAGCTGTAGCTACCTTCGTTATGAATGGGTCTACACCACGTCAAAGTCTACTTCGTTAACCAAATAAAACATACAAGATTACCGCCTAAATGTTTTTTGAGCCAAGCGCCAATTATTAATTGAAGCCGATAGCAGTGCTTCGGGGACTTCCCTTACATTAACTTCCTCCCCAAGATTACGGTACCGTTATTCCCATGTAGTAATTTCCAGGTAAACTGGTCGATCATCTCGGAAGTCTGCTGCCACCGATCCTTGTAGGTTTGATTTCCTAAGCCACACTAACTCTACGTGATTACGCTCGTTTGCCCTAGTTCTCTTGTTCTATTGTATCACGTATTAACGAACTCAGCCCCTGATTGACGTCTAATCTGTTTATCCTACTCATCCAATCAATTGCTGCCACCACTCCGTTTGTGGTAAACGCCAAGTTATTGCTCACTATCAATGCACATTATCCCATTTGTTGTCTCCTAAAACTCACGAGGCTTTAGTGATCTCATCCCATTCCCTAATTTTCTCAAGTTTCGAACGCCAGCAATACCCGATTTAGACTTCCTCTTTTGCTGTTAGCCATTCCACCTGGCCCGCGGTCTGAATCATCAGGGATGCTCAGCCAGACCAGAAAAGAAGCCGCGATCTTACACAGGCTTCACTCTGCCCATGTGGATTTCTTTGGCCGACCTCGAAAATCCGGCTGCTCAAAGAAGTGTGGAATTGACAACGGGAGTAATGCATTGCCCGTAGCGTGGTTACCAGAAGTTCATGAGTACACAAAACCCAACCATGGCTAACACATGTGTTCCATGGCTTAAAATTTCAACGTGATTCGTCGGTAAACTAAAATCCGGTGTTTGGATGACAATGATTGCCTCAAATCCACCAGTCTGTCTGATCAATTGAATCACCCTTATATTTGACGGGCGTGGGCTTAGTCAATCACTGAACAATTTTTGGTCGTCGAACCGGAAAGATGATGGGTGTTGCAGACTGAAAAGGATGTTTCCCGGCGGCAGCGTATAGGGGGTTTCTTCCTTGTCGCAGAAATTTTGGACTGTGGAACAGTTATCACCGTCCCATCAAGTTGGTGACCGCTTTCCTTCGACAGATTGTTCAGAAAGACAAGTTATTTGTACCGGGAAGAGAGCAGCGACAGCTCTCCCTCTTGGAAGAAATGGCCGGAGGTTTTACTATCAGCGAGTTATAGGATTAGCCTTGACGCACTAAGCCCTTTGCATTACACGGCCCAATACGGAGGGCCCTTAGTATTCGCATTATCGGAAGCTATCAGGCGTTCCTGATGGTCCAAATCGGTCGAGTAATTGAGTGCAGAGTACCGGTCAAAACTTTGAGTCCCATTTAGGTATCATGGGGTCTCAGAGATACTGGGAAATTGTTTCACTAGACATTTCTGCCGAGGTTCGATTGCCCCAGTTTACAATAAAATTAAGTGAGCTGCAAAAAGATGGTTTTTGGTTTGAGTACATGCACAACAAAATGAAAGTTTGGCAAAAAATTACTCCCCCCCTAAATGGTTCGCAGCTGCGATCATTGTGCGACTAATGGGACCCCAACACTGGAAAATTTGAACTGTGCTCATGGTCTAGATCAATCTGGACTTGAGAGTAATTCACTAAATCCGCGTAAGTTTCGATTCTCCACACAATTGTGCACCGGGATATGCGCCAACAGCTCCTGTTGCGTTTCAGCAACCAGTCTCCTGGAGTTCTGTTCTACGTTGTCCTGAAACGCGTCTCGCGATGCTTGATCTCCATCCTCTGTAGTATCTTTGCCTCCGAGGGGACCTAAGTCTTACGCATACCCTTTTTGAATAAAGCTTGGCAGGCAGGTTTTTCACCGTTGACCCAGCAAACACACGGCGGGGACATAGTAAGAAAATTTTCAAGCTCATAGCACACACATTCATTAGACAAAATTTTTTTCTCATCTCGGTTAGTAGGTGCGTGGAATGACAATCCTCCGACGGTTGTCCTTCTAGAACCCAGCTTAAAGCACTATTAGACATTTATTTATGTGAATCCTCGCGCTGGCAAGCATACTGCCCCGAGCTGAGAACATAAAGAGCAGTGCTACACCCTTTTTTCGCTTGTGCCTTTCAGTTGAACGACAGCCATTGACAGCCAAGACAAAAACAAAACCGACCCGGGAAACTTGGGCAAAAGCGTCGATCCTGTGTATCAATCCGTGAATCCGTGTGAGCTTCAGACTTAGGCCAATCAGCGATCGAAGCTCTGTCGAGGCCGTTGCTCAGGACAATTACGTGTGTTGCCGTCTCCCAACGCATCTCGAGGATTTTAACCGTATCTTGTAATGGGCCTGGGTTCAGGTCATGCTGTACAAGTGGTTAAAGTGGACGAGGGTAATGGCACCACAACCTTCACTCTCGATGAACCGGCGTTATCCTCGATTCTTCTCCACCCTTCTGTGCGCGATAAGCTGGTTGTAATTATATCGGTCGCCGGCGCCTTCCGGCAAGGAAAATCGTTCTTGCTCGATTTCTTCCTGCGTTATATGTCTTCAAAAGACCATGATAATTGGATAGGCAGTGGTGACACTCCACTTGAGGGCTTTCCTTGGCGTGGGGGTGCTGAACGTGATACAACTGGCATCCTGCTTTGGAGCGAGCCTTTCATTATCAAGCTTCAGTCAGGGGAAGATGCAGCAGTTCTTTTCATGGACACACAGGTAATGTCTCATCGTCTTGCTCATCGTTTCTTAGGGGTCGTTTGACAGTACATCTACGGTCCGTCAATGTGCCACAGTGTTTGCACTTAGCACCATGCTAAGCAGTATCCAGATATACAACATTCATGGAAATATCCAAGAGGATCACTTACAACATCTCCACTTATTTACAGAATATGGACGCTTGGCTATGGAATCGGAGGTTGCTGAAACACCATTTCAGGTACCACGCTGGAGATTCTCTGTAAACTCGCTGTCATTAAACCAAACTAATGCTTACTGATGTTTCACTGCCGTGCAACCATCTAGATTAGTATCAAACTGGAGCGAAATGAATCTGAGGAGGAAGGACTTAGATATAGCTTAACCCAAACAGTCTGAGGTCGCTTCCTCTAACATTTTAGTCACACCGGCAACAACTGTGTTATATCTGTTGGCGCCGTTAATCAAGGACACGGGCTTCACCCTGCTTATCGAGTAACACCGCTGATACTCTTTTTCTTCACTGTCAAGTTAGGATAATGCCCCGTTACTCTACCCGTATTTTTGAACTGGAAACCGATTCCCGATATACTGATTAGACTTATATGTTGCAGGTCAGTTTAGCTTTTGTCGTGCTGCGTGCATTTCATAGTAAGACTTCCCGTCACATGGTCAGCTCGCCAGGGCTACTTTTGGACAATGAAGTTAGATATGCCCTTCAGCACTTTCAGGGTGAGCAAGCATATTCAGTGGAACATTTCACACAATGCGTTTTTGAAGCACGGCTCCACTCATCGAGGTTGCTGTAGTTTGGAGTGAACTCCCTGCTGTAGGTCTTAGCTGGATGTAGAGCGCTTGTAGAGAAGCATTTACTAATTGTGGCTGCCGCAATACTATCATGTTTCTGTAAATTAGCCTGAGTTTACAGTCTTGGTGGAATGATATATACCGCGTTGTAAGCAGTGGTTGTGTCATCTCTAGTGATTTCGCCTTGATAGCTTCGGGAAGATTCGGCTATTTCGCTTCATCATCCTCTGATGGATCTGAGTGATGTTGAAGTACGTCACTGCGGCAATCGTTGTCTCAGAACCACAGCTCGTGTGGGTTGGTGTCGGCGAATCCGTAACGAGGCAGTTAGAAAGCGTGTGTGTGACGGGTACTTCCATTGAAGAATGTGTCCAGCACCAGAAGCTGCGTTGGCTGGGACATGTTTTACGCATGCCGAACCATCGTTTGCCGAAGAGAGTACTGTTTTCCCTGCC